CGGTCGCAGCTCTCTCAGCCGTCGTGCCTCGTCCGTGGGGCAAACGTGCGACTGTGGGGCTTCGCCGTGCGTGCCGGGGGCCCGTGCTTTGGGAACCTGTTGTAATTATTTCTTATAGGCCGTATTTACTTATTTTTTTCCCACAATGTTACTCCTTAAGAAGGAGTTGCATCTTCAGGGCGTTTTCAGCTGTAATATCCAAGTCCTAAATCTAATTAATTATTTTCGTAAATAACTGCATTATTTGTGCACAGCCTGGTATTGCTGATGTTCGGGTGATGTCCATATTGTGCGTGGAAACTTGTGACTTCATAGTCCTTACATCTATGACATGTCAGTTATTTTCATTTAATAAGGTAATGAATCATGATGTCAAAGATTGACAATATGAGGTTGGTGTTAGGAACTGAAAGCACAGCATGTAGTTTAATGAGCAGTAAATATACCTGAAATGAAGGGGATATTTATTTTTCTCCTTTTAAAATACGTTTATACTTCATTTCATTCAAAAATGGAAAGAGAATACCATATTCCAAGTACAGTGGCATGGTAGCGCAGAAATCAAAGCACACTTTGTATTATTCAGCTTTTTAACTAATAGGTGGATATTATTAATGACTTAACAGCAGCAAGAAAAACTAGTACATTATTATATATTTCAGATAATACGCACTGTTAGCATTAATGCAGAGGATTCTTCACATCTTCATGTAATAGGTACCCTGATGATTTAACTTTGAAAATGCTGTGGCTTCTTTTATTATCTCTGGGTAGCTCACTCTGTTAGTGTTTTGTCGTGCTTATCACCTTGCTGTCTAACCGATTCTCACTCTGCAATCCTACAGTAAAAAACGAATACCAGCATTTTGCAGTGTAAAGTATTTTTGAGATGCCACTGTTGTAGCCGGTGCGTACCCTTCGCATTTCAATATTCAAAACTGTGGGCTTTCAAAAATGCGAAACCCACCACCTCCTTCTCAGTCGAGATTCTGCACGCCGCCGGGGGCATGCCGGGGCTCGTGTCCTGGTGGATTGCTGAGATACCAGCCGGCTTGGTTCAGTGAAGATACCTTCCAGCTTCACTGGTCCATGTCATTTGAAGGATATGTAGTGGTGTTCTGACCACTGAATGCTTACAAGTGTCATGGATGCTGCAAGAATCTGATACCCCTGGTGCTGGGAGCTGGCTTTCCCTGTAAGCTGGAGCGTACACAAAAGGATCGCACTTTAAGTAGACCTAGATTAGATTCTAAGTTGCGCTTACTTAATGGCTTATGGGCGACTCCAAGGACCACAAATACCACATTTTTTATTTGTAGTAGGTCTGCACGTCTGTGCAGAGAGGGGTATTTCAGAGACCCTTAACTGTAGTGGGTAAAAACGTACCGTCACCTTCTCAACTTTAATGTGTGTTTAATGACAGCGTCGTAACTGGCTTCTCTTCATTGGGTTCTTCGGTGGCGGTGAAATCAGAGCAAAACCGTTTAGATTTCTCTTATTTACAAGCTGGCACTAGAACTTACTCAAAATGTTAAAATGTTGGAGATGTTGAAATGGTCTGTGATACAGAATGCAATTATTATATTTTAATTTTTGGTTTTGGGTGATATTCCTGGGAATTCATAAAGGTCACGAAGGCCCACCTTTGAATCTTAATCACTTTTAAGATTTCATCAGGCTGCCTAAGTGTACAAATGCCGCCTTAAACATGAATGAAGAAACAAAAGAAACATACCCAAGACTATAGAGATTTCCAGACTTGTTCCTGTTACTTATAGTTTCTCTAAAGCTGCAGCGACAGGCTGACATTCATTCAGTAAAATTTTATTTTAAGGGAGAAAATCCGTAAAGTTTCTTAAGTTACTAATTTGCAGAAGGAAATCTTAAAAGTAACTAACAGTTAAGTGCGTGTGCAAGTAGATAAAAATTGTTACACAGAAAAGGACTTTAAAACTTTGGTTACCTTTTCTGTGAGCAATGGTGGCCTTGGTAATTTGGAATTTAAAGTTTAATGAAAGGTCACTCACGAAAGATTCACATGTCTTTAGAAAGAGATTAACTGTTCCTCTTGTGCAGTATAATATATACTGCACAGTACCGTATGGGTTGGTGAGAAATACAAGCGGCACAGTGCAGTAGCCACCTGCTTACTGGGTGTTGAAGAAATTAGGAGAATCGCACTCAGAATTAGAACTTGCCAATAACTTTTCTGCATTTTGAAAGAGAACATTTTTTTTGTAACACGCTACTTAAAAATGTGTACACATACGTACATACATATCCGTACGCGCACTACCACTCTGGAGTACTTTGGAAATGGGGCTACTTGTATTTCTTAAACAAAATGAGTGTAATGGGAAGCTCGAAATACAGTGATTCTCCTCTGAAATGTTACAGTAAAAATAGCACTGGTTGTTTCTTTAAGCTTGTTCTTTATGTGGTAAATCACACGTGCTCGCTTTTCTGACAGACACAAGTTTTTGCTGTTGTCGGGGCTGGAGGAAAACGATTTTGGATCCTAAGACCCAGTCTGCGCACTACGAGCAGAGTTATTTATAAAGTTTGTGCTACAAATGCAGATACTGCAGCGCAAGTGATGCTGGGGCTAGTAGGTACCCAGGATGTCTTTTGTGCCACAGTGAAAAGCGCTGTTTACCTGCAGGGAGAGCAAATTTTTTTTTTTTCATGAAATTTCCTGAGGGAAGGTAACACTTGAACGCCCCCATGCATTTTTGTAAAATTATTTTTCGAAGTACAGCAACTAAACGATCATCGTTTAAAAAGTTGAGGAATGACGTTCCTGACTCGTGAACCTTGCCGTGCACTCTGAGGTTTAGGACTTTACCATGGGGGGTGGGTGTTTTGGCTCTGATCTGGCATTTAATCAGGTGCTCAACTCTAAGTAAGTTAGTAATTCTGTTGACTTTGATCTCCCTTTTTCAGGTTAATGCTGGAGCTTTCTGGCCGATGTGATCCTCACCTACAGTAGGGCCTCAGCACACAAGCCACTGCTAAAGCCTCCTGAGGCACAGTCAGTTTTGACATCAGTAGGAAAAATCCCAGTTGATTTCAGCATGGAGCGGGTTGGGCCCATTATGGTGACCCTGAACGTTAGGCTTAAATGATGTTTGTCTGTCCCTGAGAGACACAGATGACTCTGTGCTGTGTCATGTTTTCTGTAGTTCTGGGAAGAAAACGCATTTAGACAGAGGAATGTTCGTCTTCCAGTTTGTTTGACTCTCGGGACTTCACTAAGAATATTGAGTTGGTTAAAATGTCTCTGTGCTTTATTGTGTAATATAATAATTTTATACAATACATGGTATGTGTTTTCAATTTTTAAAAAGTTCTGGGTTAGAGTATTACTGTGTTGCTGGAAAGAATTTCACTTTTAAAGATGAGTGAGCTAGTGAGAATTATTATTGCTTCCATGTTTACTTGCAACAATGAAAATGGTTAAAAACACATCACTGCTATGAAATGCCTAGCTTTTAACTTTAATTTTGCTTGTGCTAATGCGCAGTATGCTGTAGGCAGAGAATGGAGCACTACAGAAAAATATTTGAATTATGGAGCTTATTATTAAATGTTTTACCTAAATATTGTTGCCTTTTTATAGAACATCGCCATGATTTTATGGTTTCGCTCGCCTGTAACTGTTTACGACGACTTCTGTTCCAGACAGACATGAGAAGATAGGCTGGGTGGGAAGAGGCAGTTACAGCCTGGGAGTTGTTTGTCGGCTGCAGGACGCATGCAGCTCCTCTCGACATCAGTGGTTTGGGCCGGTCAGCTCCTCCCAGGATTTGCCGGCAGAGCAGCAGTTAGACGCCTGTACAGCTGCATCAGGTACCTGAAGGCAGAGGGGAGTGAGGAGAGTAAAGCTGGGAGAGAGGGGGAAATGCAGAAAAAGAAGGGAATTAAGATACTCCAGGGGAGAAACAGGACATAAGTAGCGGAAGGAAGGAAATACAAATGAGGGAAAAGGGGAGAGAAGAACAGTTTTGAAGGGAGAAAAGTGGAAGAACAGGATACCAGACAGGAAAGGAGACAAGCAAAACAAATAAGACCCCGGCAGATAAAAAGAAGAGAGGGAATGAAACAAAAGGAAAAAAACCTAATTCTTGGCAGAAACAGCATCTGTTGTCAAAAACAGCTGAGTATTTCAGTTTCTGGAAAAGCTGTTTCAGATGTGGGGGAGGAAAAATGGACAGGGATCAACCAAGTGACCTGAGGTGGGAAAAGTTGTAGGCAGGAAATATGGAATTAAAGAGTAAAAGAGAAAGGAGGGAGATAAAAAGACAAAGACATAAGAAGGCTAAGCCTGACCGTGCTGTTTTCTGGGTTCAGTGAAGTCCCAGCACGTACAGACCCAGCTGTTTTTCCATACTTTTATTCCCTGGACTACTAGACCTTGGGGAGATTAGAAGTGCAAATT